AATGGAATGTGGTCCCAGCCCTCAGGGATCTTGGATTCTGTTGGAAAGGGGGTGGGTGTGTGAGTGAGCAGACAAGATCCTAAGTGACAGTGATAAAATGTCAAGTGAGATGAGTGTTATCATCACCCACCGTAGGGAGGCTGGGGAGGAGGGAGCCCGGAGGGTGACAGATCTGTAGCCCGCACCTGTTAGCATGATGCCCTACAGACACCGCCTGCGTTCTCGCTGCACCCACTCAACCTGACCCCCCAAGGTGAGGAAAACAAACTTCCCTGTCCTCTGCCAATCAGCTGAGCCTCCCCAGCACAAACACAGAACAAAGTCAATTACCTCGTGTCAAACCCCAGTTTTATTCAATTACGGCAGAGAGCACCACACTGCTGATGTGATTTGAACAAGGGGCCCTCCCCAACTTCCAAAAGCAATTATGAGATTTCACGTCCCATACTGTGATTCCTCAAGGGTTCATCTGACGGGATTTTTTCTCTCCATATGGCGTGTGCTGTCAGTACGGAAACAAGGCCGTTATAAACTCACAGCACAGTAAACACCATGTGATTCCAACACAAGCTGTCAGCACCTCAGTTCCATGCCTCTCCCAGCTGTACAGAAAATCCCAGGCAAGAAAGCCACACATTGGAAGCCCAGAAAGAAATAAAAGGACCAGTAATCATGTATTCGGATTCTTTTCTCAGCTTTAAATAAAGATAAATGGGCCTCTCTTCTGAGGAAGCATCACCACCAGAATCCAAGCGCAAAGCCTGCAGTTCATTTAGAAATGGAGAACGAGGCCACAGAAAGACAAATACGAACTCGGGGATTGATCAAAGTGACAGGAGGAGGTGCAGGTCAAAGATCCTGAAGCGTCAAGTCCTAGGGGCACGTCACTTCTGAAAAGTTAGATGACACTGAAATTGGAAGCATAAGAACTCTGTAACATCTTCAGAGTGGACGCTTTCTGACCAGTGTCTACAGAAGCCAGCCACGAGGTTGAAATCCAGCTCAGAGGGGCCCTGCCCGCAGCCCTCCACCCAAGGGTGTCCTCTTGGGGCTGGTAAGGAGGGGCAGAGTCCTCTCTCTGCTCTGAATCTCTCTCTCTCAGGGTAGGAGGAACCTGGGATGCTGTGCACACCTGCACAGTCCACACACACATACACACCAGCTCTTCTGAACATGAAAATCCTGCTTTTGGCCACATGCCTCATTGGTCTTTCCCTCCAAGCCAGGAAGAGCCTGTCACTATATAAGGTATTAGAGCATCAGGCTCCCTCCCTTCTCCCAAAGTATTCACCAATCATCTAATCATTCCAGCCTCATTCTTTTGGGTCCTTCATTCATTCATTCAACAAACTCTCTTCCAAGGTCTTCTGCTTTTTGATACTAGAAATTTCCTTCAATTTTCAGATTCTCGTATTGAATTCAACACCTGAAGAGGGTGCGGATGAGTGGGTGGGCAGAGACATACCTATACCCACTGGCAAGGTAAGGATCCAGGAACAGGCTTGGAGTTAATAGCTGGCCATCAGCTGAGACCAAGAATAGGGTGTGGTCTTTGTGATGTGACATCTGACCTCGGCCACAGTAATATCAGTCTGGTGGACAGGGCAAACGGAAGCATATCCAGAGGAAGGTGATGAAAAGGGGGTCCAGAAAGCTCATTACAAGCTCTGAATTTATAGTGCCCTTGATCAAAGGGCAGACTGCCCCAGGAGAGTGGGGGGAGATGTGCTGGAAAGGCAGGCCGGGCTCAGACGGGAAAGGGCTGGACTCTAAGGCCAAGGAGACTAGAATGGACTCACTGTCTCACCCAGGCATCAATGATGTCAGAGCACAAGTGATTTGAGTGCAGCCCGTGGACAGGTGGACAAAAATGGGGTAGGAACAGGGTGCCCGAGACATTTATGGAGGAGGTCACTGGTGTGGGAGCCATTCCTGCCCTGTGGTTCAAGCCCCAGCCTTTGGGCAGAGAGGGCACAGCCCCTGCGGTTGCGATCCTGCTTTGGTGGGAAGCCAAACTGAACTGGCCTTAAGAAAACCACATGTGTCATTTGTTTCTTCAAGGGCTTGACATCTCCCAAACATGCCCACAGCTGGCCCAGGACACTCCTTCCTGCAGCACACTGAACTCCAGCCATGCCTCAGACAGAGCCGCCTTTCCCCACAGCAAGTTCACAGACACTGGCTGAGCCCTTTCTGGGCACTGCATTCCGAACCCTGTTGGGTGCAACCCTTACAGAAGACAGGTTCCACAGGCTTCGTCTTTTTCTTCGTCAGAGCAGTTTACTTACTAGCCCAGGCAGGAGGGAGGCACATTCACAGACAGGGCTGGGCAGGGCAGCATCGAACAAAGCTGAATATGCAAGACGCCTGAGAATGTCTAGGGAGGTGTCTGGGCTGAGGGCACACACACTGCTCTTGTGAGGTT